GAGGGTGAAGGGGGGGACCTGGATTTGGGAGGGGGAGGTGGGGGGGGTGCTGGATTTGGCAGGGTGAAGGGGGGGGGGTGGGGGGCGCTGGATTTGGCAGCTACTGGTGTCTCATTTTCTGACTCCATGCCAATACCTTGCGAGCTAATGGACTTTAGTAAATTTATTGAGCATCTCTATGTTGAACAAGAGCTTTGCCTGCACCACATTGTATTTCTGTTGCATTGAGGAGTTTGAATTGAACTCCCTGTCACTCTGGAAGAATTACACAAGACACTAGTGTGAGCCCAGCTTGGGTATTGTGTCAAGTCCTTGTCACTGCAGCTGAGGATGTGAATGCATTGGAGGGAGCACTGAAGAGGTTTGCAAGAATGGACCAGGGATGAGGAATTTTATTTTATGAAGATAGTTTTCTCTAATCAGAATTCAGAATCATGGAAGGCTGGGACTGAATAAGTAGGGAGAAGGTGTTCCAATTCAGGAAAGGACCAAGAACGAGATGGTGCAAATTTCATTTGATTTAATGAATGAAGCAAAAGTGATGCGGGTAAAATCTTTTTCATGCGGCGAATGGTTAAAGTCTGGAATGTGCTGTTTAAGAGTGTGGTGGGGACAGGTTCAGTCAAGACTTTCAGAAGTAAATGAGGTGATTATTTGAAAAGGATGAATGTGCAGTGTTACAGGGAGAGGACTGGAAAGTAGCAATAAGTGAGATGTTAGTTTGGAAAGCTGGCACAAACGTGATGGGTTGAATGGTCTCCTTCACTGTAAGAAGGCTGTGATTCTGTCTGGTTGCATTCAGGGCTGCTCCTAATTTGTTTTCTGTGCTGTCCACAGCCTGGATGCGTTGCTGGACTCGGGCCTTTACACTGGAGAGCTAATGGAGTTTGTTGGAGCACCGGGCAGCGGCAAGACACAGGTAAGGCCATTTGATCTTTAACAGCAAACGTGCTTTAAGATGTGGCTGTGCTTGCAGACGAGCTGGTGTCTGAAAACCAACCTGCCCCTGAACCTCCACAGCCATTTCCAGCAAAAAAAATTCCACAGCCTGTAGTGGCCACCAGTCCTGGGCTGACCCTGGAAATGTATGCCACACTGAGTGGGGACCCTGGCACAACAAAATATTATTGTCTGGGAACTGGAATAACCTTGTCTCCTAATAGTGTTTTGTTTTTTGCTGTTTTTTCCTGGAGAGCAAGGCAATGAGACGATATGGCATGGACCAGGGTAGGCCTTAAATTGAGGCCCAGGGTGGTGTAGACACTCACAATTCATATGTCTTCCAAATAACTTTTTGATGGCTTTTTTTTTCAATACTACTTTGT